TGGCGGGGGCCATTATTATCATATAATAAAAGAGTAGGAAATGAACAAGAGAACATAAGGAACAGCCAATGAGGACCACACAACTCAGCCAGCCAATCCGCCGATCCGGCCCACGGTGCTCCCATCTCTGCAGACAGGGTCCCATCTGAGACAGGGTCACCTTAACGGGGCACAAGTAAGAGCAACTGGTGCCGGGGGAGGGCAGGATGGCGGGTTCTGGCGCAACGCCGGCCGGATCAAAGCGCAGACGGGCCGCGCTCCCGCTGTCTTCTGGAGGACGAAGTGCCGTCGCCGTCCAAGAGGCCCGGGGCCCGGGGCCCGGCTGCCAAGCTGGAGCCGATCCGGCCGCTAATTAGCTAGCGGCTGCCGCATCCCGACTGCCGCAGGCCCCAAAGCCGGGGGGGAGGTAGGGGGCCGGGCCGGGCCGGGCCGGGCCAGCGCCTGCAGAGAGGGCCTCCGGTGTCCCACCACTTGAGTCGCTTTGGGAGAGCGGATTTACAGCCACAGGGGCGCTGTCGCTAATAAGGTGAGAGTAATGTCATGAGCAGGGCCCGCGTGGAGCAGGGGCAGGCTGGGCCAAGTTAGGGCCTGTGGGGTGAGGAGTGATGGCGGCTGTGCAGAGGGGGCAGCAGGCGTGCCAGACCTGAAGCTGTAAGGCCGGCATGACAACGCCCGAAATGCCACACGGCAAGCGATGTCCGTCTTAGCAAGCCTCACATCTCCACCAACCCAACAGAGGCGAGAACTAGGCAGAGGAGGATTCGATTTACACGCCTTCCAGAGGATACCTTGGAGTCAGATTAGGGGAGAATGATCAAGCACAGCTCCCATGGCCTCCCATGGCCTCTGAATGCAGCAGAGTTGCCCTTAGAGAAACTGCTCCCACGATATACATGGCCAAGACACAGCTTCCTACACAGAGAGGAATAGCCGATAACAGAACAGACCCCTGTCCAGATGGTCTGCTTGGAGTCACCTGCCCCCCCAGCCACTCACAGGGATCGTAACTGAGCACTGAGCCCACCCCACCCCCACCCCCCTTCCATGAGAGGTGAGAGATCAGCCCTCAAGCCCCAGTGAGAGTGCATGAGCCAAGCGGGCGTGAATCAAAGCGGCTGACAGGACAGGAGTCGGGGGGGTGGGGGAGGAGGAGGGAGAGGCAGATGTCACGACGGAAAGCTTTTCAATCAGACTCTCCTTCCGGAACTGCCAAGGTGAGCGTGTCCCAGTTCATCCTGACCTATGGCTGCTCCCAGGGCCGTGTGTAGGGTGGGGGAGCAGGGAGGGCTGAGAGATACAGAGACACTTTCTGTTCCACCAACGGTTCTACTGGACATTCCCAGAGTCACATAACTCGGGGGAACATGGGCTGGACGTCTCCGGTGACACAACTGCAGAAGCATCCGTGGCCGATGCCCCCGGCCGCCGAAGACCTCGTCTTCACTCGATCCCTCCTTAACCGAAGAGACCGCGAGACATGGAGCTAGCGTGTTGCCGTAGCTAACCACTGAGTAATTCACTGCTGTGTGGCATAATTCGATAATGCGGCCCTGGGCCCCGCGGAACGACTGTGCAGGGTCGGTACTCCTCTCAGAATGCCGCTAAGCTAATTACGCTTGACTTGGCCAGCGCAGAACACTCGACTAGATGTCACGTCTAATCAAAGGAGGAAGTGACGGGCCCTTTTAAAGGACCGGCAGCCCGTCATTCACAGATGAGGGCAAAATATGATCTCTTTCAAAAATGTGCCTCCCCCTCCCCACCCACAGCCAAACAGCACAGATTAATATCCCCAATTAATATGAATCAGTTGTACAGTTACTTAATTGATCCAGAGTTTGGAACAATTCGGTTAACAACTGACTTTCATGCCTAATCGTTTTTAAGGAGTAAACAGAAAAGTAAAGCAATGGTCATGCTTAAGTTCTTTGATAAAGTCTAATGTGGTTAAGTACAGTTCGAAATGGAGCTTGAAAAACTATTCAATGGACTGTCAAGGTTCATCAAATCAACATCGAAATCCATCACTGTGCAGTTAACCCTAATTAATAAGGACCTGAAGCGAAAAATACTCAGTGCCAGGGCTGAGGAACTGAGAACCTATTTAAAAGAACATTTTGGAAGACGCCCCCAAGGGACTGCATCAGGACTGACCTGCTACCGAAGGTATTGTTTCCTCTTTATATGTCACAGATTAACCTTTAAGGGGGGCTGCTCTAGGAGAGCTGAGGACGACCACGCTCATTCTCGGTGTCTGAGATTTCAGAAATGTTGGAAACAAACAGATAACAGGTCGGGGGGCTGATGGGGGGTGGGGGTGGGGCAATAAGAAACTGTCTGCCGGGCTGGACTCCTTTGGTACTGTAAACTTTGAAATCGGACCTTGGCTTAAAGCCTACCCCCCCAAGTCTCACCCCAGGCTCAGAAAGGACGAGATACCCTCCAGTGAAGAGCTCATGATTACACCACAGCCCAAAACAAAGGCTCCCTGCCCCCAGGGTCAGGCCTTTTCCTGTAGTTCATCAGTGTAGCACCGATAACAATACCGCCAGGACTTCCGGCATCCGTGACTCATTGCCGTTCGGCCCAGGAGTATTTAGGCTTTAGGATACGCTGTCCGAGGGCATGAGGAGGGTGGGTACTCTCACCGCGGGGGCACTGGATCGCTCATCAGATTAACTGGCAACCGAGTTTCCCATCTTTGACCGGGGCATGTAAAATGCTGGTGCTACACTTCACAGGGGTCGGATTCGTCTGTCCTCTCCAAGCCCGGGAATGCATTTTCCGGATGTTTCCGCTGACGCCCGCCCACCCGCATCCACGCGGTACATCGCAGCGGAATTCGTTCTCCTCACCAGAAGTGGCATTTCGACAAACCGCGGAAATTATTTTTATCTGCCGCTTGCTCACCTGCTGGGCTGCGGGGTGTTTCCAACCGCGCAAGTCCGCCGGAAAAAATACGGCCAGTCCTGGTGAATCAGCAAAATCCCTGTGCGTCAATAATGCGCTGTGCCGTGCTCGCTGCAGACCAGGCAGGGGAGATTGGACGGCTTAAACACCACGGGGAACCTCGGGTAAAAAGAACTTATCTGTTGGACCAGAACTTTGCCAGAAAAGTCAAGTCAAGGACAGAGTTCTCAGATATGGACAATGGTGACCTCATTCAACAAGATACATTTGGCCCAACTGCCATGTAAACATGCTTGTCCTTAAGACAGCCTCATTCCTACCCAGGAGCGTGTCAAATCGCATCCACGGTAGACAAACGGCCTATTGATGTTATTTTTATTTTTTTCCCCTTTCTCAGAACGGGGGGGGGGTGTGGTAGGAATGGTGACCCCAGCTTACTGCTTACAAGACTCTGAAAAATTAAAAAGTTAAGATATTCAGCTCAAGATACTTTGATTCTTCCTTTTTAAAGAGCTTGAAAACACACATGTCCAGAAACTGTATCCCCGACTGGACTCCCCGACCTTCCGAACGGACCAGGACGGACGTGCCCTGAGCGGACATGTCATAGGAAATCAGCACGAAGGAAGAGCAAGCAGCTCCAGGATTGTGACACAAGCGGTCACTAAGTACGTCTTGTTTGGGTTGCCGCGGCACACAGACCATGTGCGCCCCATTTCCTGTTAATTTAATCACTGGCTGCACACTGGGGCCTGTATCCTGGCCTCTCCCCCATTCTATCTGATAAGGAAGGAATTCCGAACATCATTCCCCCCCGTCATGGGTTGTCGTGTGCAGAGATGCCATGGGGCACAAGGAAGGCCAGTGAGAGAAGAGGGAGGCGTAACAGAGTTAGAACATGAATCCCAGGCAGGAGACCCACGGATGTCACTCCATAATGGTATTTCCAAAATCCGAGTTCCTGAAAAACCTGAAAAACCATTTCACTAAACTCATTACAGGCCCAGATATCAGGCGTGTTTGCCAGGTCACACGACCCGTTCGTTTAAACAGAAAACAGTTTAAACAGCTTGAGTAACCCTGGTTGCGGTCGGTTTTATTTCACAAATATTTCCCCTGGCGGGAGCGCTGATGTATCCTGCAAGTTTGTGGCTCGAACCCGTTTGGGATAAAGTTGCCCCTGGCTTCCTTCCAGGCATAATGTACATCTAGATGAATCTGACCACTGAATACACAGAAAAACAGGTAGGCAATCCGCACTCATCACAAACTTAACCGTTAAATAAATAAACCGCGATGAAAGATTTGTTCACTTTTTTCCTCCAGAGAACATGCATCTGAGCCTGGCCACATTTCTCCGCGGTGTCAGTTACCTCCTCTACTCATCACCTGGCAAAATTCTGCCCCATTCTTTGGATCCAAGAACATTTATATTTGCCCCTCGGTGACGAAATCGGAGCTGGCAGTAGCTCCCCCCCCCCCCCCATTCTAGTAGACAGACCCAATCATCATGGCCATAAATAAGAGATCGTTTGTGGAGCAGTAAAATAACAAGGACCCCGAAAAAGTGCTCAGCTCGTTCACAGCGCTCTCCGGGAACCCCTAAGACTACGGTCCGCATGGGGGAGAAGGACATGGCGTACACCCTCCAAAAAAAAACAGAAGAAAAGACAAATCCAGAACAAAGATGCAGTGTACACGACCAGAGACAAGAGGAGAAGGGTGTGGGCGCCGGGGGTCAGTGAAACGGCAAGACAGAAGGACGGATTCCACTCTGGGTTAAAGGGTCTATTTACCGCCCCTCCCCCTGCACGTACAATTCAGACTGCGTGAATTTACCATAAATTACATAGTACAAAACAGCACCGCGTACTAAGCCACCATCAATCTCATTTTATATACATGTACACGCATCCTGTGTTTAGCCTACTGCATGTAGGTAACCGCCAAAAACGAATTATACACTTTACATGTAAATTAGTGTCCGTAATCAGCATAAATCAGCCGATAACTATAAACGGCTCGTCGGTTCGTGTTAGCTTCACGCGACCAGCAGGTGGCGCACTTCGACGCCAGATTTCGGCACTTACTTGCATTCTCGATCCTCCAGGTCGAAATGAGGGTTGAAGTTGATTAAAATCCGCTGGTAGGGTCCCGGAGCCTCGATCACCCACACGCATTTCTGCGACGGTAAGTACGACAGCGGATAACCGGGGGACGTCAGGTAGTTTGCATTTGTGATTCTGATGTTATCTCCACATTTATCTGAAAGCAATAAGACAAGCATGAACTCCAAAACCCGGTAGCGCGCTTCCTCTCAGTATAAAGTTTGTAAACTACTTCATAGATACAGATATGGCACATGCTTTAAACATAGACATTTTTTAAACATAAAATACACTTACGCGTTTAAGCAAATACACATATTCTATAATGACAGATAAAAGCAAAATATAGCATCCATCATTTTCTGCAACCGCTTAACCTATTCAGGGTCACAAGGTAGTACGGAGCCAATCCTGGAGACTACGGGGGCAAGGCATGGAACAAACCAGAATCGGGAGCCAACTCACATACACAGGGCACATAGTATTATTATAATAGGCTACTATAATTTAAAAAAATCTATAATAAAAAAATATCACGTAGGCCTATATTATACTATAGGCCTATATAAAAACACATTATCATAAAACGCTGATAAATGTAAAATTAACGCTGGTCAAAAACACTCCCGAAACATTTCTGCTGCACGAATTTCGGTGTCACACTGTAAGTTAATTACTGCTGTAGGCATTTTTTTAAGTTACATTAGGTTTACCCGAAAATTACCCATTGGATTTACCGTCGTTTACTGATAATATCCTACCGTTTACTAACCCAGAACAGTGCCGTGTTACACACAGGGCTCAGTATGCACGTACAGATGTGACAGCATTAGTTCGTGATCAGTTCAGTTACGCTTATTGACTTTAGGTTTGAATTAGCCTATCCCACATTTCACAAAACAGGCATTTTATCGGATAAAAAACTCATAGCAGAAAGGTCACCAAACCATGAGTAACAACTCTATTAGGCCTACTGGAAACTAAGATAAACACGTTGTCTCGTTCCTGACACGGATCACATTTAACACAAAATCCCAAAGAAAATCAAAGGTGTGATTCATCCCGGCGATTAATAGACTGACCTGTGGCATTTTCCTTTCAAATAGCCCCTTATAGAATAATTGAGAGCCATTATCCGTGACTGGGGAATGTCAGGGATCATTTTATGTAGGGAGGCCGAGGCCGAATCGGTCACATCTGGGCAACTTCCATATGCTTTGCGGGTACTCGGGGGTCCCTTGGGATGTCAGGAAACCCCCCCCCCCCCAAACCCTAACTCCCTGAAACGGCAGCTACCTGTCTAACTTCTCGCAAAATAAATATACACCGAGTCGAACTTAAGCAATCTTTAGCGACTTTTGAGTTCCGTCGGTTTATTTATTCTGAACACCACAAACACCATTCAACTTTAACAGCTTAAACTGTTAAAAAAAACGGACTCAGAGCTCAAATAATAAAACACCCCTCAAAATTAAGTAAAATGTAAAATAATTTACTATGGTTCTGTGCAGTCTGCTAACACCATGTGCAATTGTAGTTTACGTATTTCAATAAGAAGCATCACGCTAACAAGACTTTATAGAAAACACGTCAACTTAACTAATAAATTGCATTATATATATATATATATATATATATATATATATATATATATATATATATATATATATATAGACACACACACACACTTTATATTTCTATAGAGGTCTGTTAACGTGATGCTATATATATTTGTACACATATATATGTATGCTTATCACAGTTTTTGTCTAATCAGACCTTTATTTCAACGGTAAGTGGACGTGTAAATTTAGGTTAACTGGTATTGCTGATCTTTGGGAAACTGGGAAAACTGTAATAGTCCAATACTTACCGTTTTTGAAAGCCAGTGCAATGGAGACGAGTCTCATTAAGAGGATCACAACTAATCCACAATGCATCCTTGTGGTGTGAGAAAAAAGAAAGCAAATCAAGAAACGAAAGCCAAACTCCAGTGGATCGTCGGAGGAAAACTTTTCCCGCTTGAGCAAAGGAAAAAAGGAAAAAAAAAAAAACGAAGAAACGTCTTAAGGTTGCAGAAAGGCGTCTTTATGCATCCTGTCATTTAGCTCTGGCTTCCTCTCCCGTTCCGCAGCTCCGTTCCTCTCCACGATGCCGGTGCTGCCATTTCCCAAGTAAAGTCTTGCCCAGTAAAGAAGGAAAAAACACACAACTCCCCTCCTCAACACGCCTTCGTTTGATGACCAGGAGGGCGTAATCCTTCACTGTTAGAATTTAAGGGGAAAATATTGACAAGGGCATTTTAAAGCTTCACACACATCAGAAATGAAGCTCTGGCTGATTCTTCTGCTCGCCTGCACGTCTGACAAACGCTACAAACATCTGGGCACCGGCGTTACCAGCAAACGACACCCAACCATCTCCTCGGTCATCTTCATCCTCCCTGTGGTCCATCCGTACGCAACAATCCCTGAACTCTCAGACAGATCATTAATGGGGGTGTAAAATGTGCCTTTCCTGGTTAAAAGCGGGCAAAGGAGACGCGGTGGAGCCGCTCCGTTTGACGAGGAGGAGATAGGAAAGTGACAGGACAGGGGCGCACGGTGTCCCCTTCGCGGAGAGAGGGCTGAGACTCAGCTACCGTGTATCCCTAAACTTGATCATCAGCGAAACTGGCCGCCCTCCACCGGACAACGGTCTGGAAAGATTTACTTGATGCCCTCGGTCTGTACATTATGCCTGCTACAAATGTGCGCTGAAATACGTTTTGATATATTTCATGCAATATTGTGGTGTCCAAGTACAAACAATAGATTGTTGATAAATTGTACCTGAACACCGAGTTTATTTTTAACATCCAGCATGCGCGATTACTTAAAAATAGTAGCTTGTTAACAAATACGGCTTCAGTGTTTACGCTACGTGATTAACACACACCGTCTATTCAGGATGGAAACGGTCCACAATCAATGTGTTCGCGTTACGCCTAAGACGTCTAAATATCTAGATGATACAACAGTTATAAAAAACAAGGAAATCGGGAGGGGAGCTGTCTCCAACCCCTAAACGTACCACAAAAGAGAATAGCAACAATGTAAGCGTTCAATAATAATAATAATATCACAACATAAACTCCAGAAAAAATATTCGTATAATAAAAACCACTATGAAAAAACCCCAGCAAAACAGCCTCTCTGTCGATCTAGTACGTGTTGCACGCTGGACGTGAAAACCCCAGAAATATATCACCATCATATCTCAGTAGATCTTCCCAAACGCAGCTTAACTTTGAAAGGTCGAGTCGATTCCTGCAATGAATCTAAATTACAAAATATAGCGTGCAATCGCGCCGAATTCTACGTATAAACTGGGCACGCCACTTCCTGTAAGTACATGGTTATTTCAAACAAAATTAAAATGATGAAATAGTCACCTGCTACGTGTGGCTCCGAAAAGCGGCATCCAGGGATGGCGGTACTGGTCCTGGTGTGTCACCGGACGGGACAGGAGGCGTATGATCAGTTGCGCTCCCCAAAAGACAAAACGCTTTCCAGACGCCGGAGCTTAGAATGAGCACAAGTAGGCTCTGTGCTGTGGACGAGGAGACAGATCAGCCCTGGGATACACAGTTCCCTTTTTTATCAGTAAATGAGAGCACCGTGCTGCTCCTGCTGCTGCTGCCGTTTCCTTAAGACTTGGAGGAGAGTGTGACAACCCAGATCAAACAGGGGTCTGCTGAGAGCAGCGCTGGGCGGGGTGAGCAGAGCAGAGCAGAGCAAGCAGTCAGGAGGTTAAAGAAGACGAAGACAGTCAATCCTTCCTTTGAAGAACTGAATTAAGTTCATCCCCCCCCGAGCGCACGTCACCGGCGCTGGAGAAACCCTCGGCTGGGGTGGAGAAGAAGTCCTAGGCTGGGACTGGAGAAGAAGTCTTAGGCTGGGGTAGAGGAGTCACACGCCCCTCCACCGCGGGCTTCATCAGATCTGACAGGCAGTCCGTGAGGCTGCTACCGGCCCATACTTGGTCAAATCCAAGCCCAAGCACCGCCTGGACACATGCACATTATCACCGGAACCGGTCTGATTCGAGCACATTAGTTATTATAAGGAAGGGTTAGGGTCCCGTTAGGCGCCGCGTTGCTCTATTTTAGGATTTCATTTATCGGACAAAATTTCGTCCATCCCGGCAGAAGCGTTACAGCGCATAAGATTCGATTGCAATCCTTTTCGTCAGTAGTAAAAATAATGCTATCCGTTTCTGCTTCATGCAAAATTTCATAATTTTATATCAAAGCAACGCGGGCTGGCTTCCAGTTCTTACATTCCCATACTCGGTATTTTTCACATAATGCACCCCCAACCCCCCTACCCCCCCAAAAATAATAGTAATAAAATAACGCAATCTACATTAATAAATCGCGAATACACCTCCCACATCAGCGGGGATATTTTCAGTTGAGAAATGGAACGTCGGGGAATTAGACGTAAGTGCGCAAGGGTATACCGTATACCCCTTTTCATGTTTCAAAGTCTAAATCAACGGATATAAAACTGCGCAAGAAACACTTAGTGTTGGCGTGTGTGGGGCTTTGCAAGATAAAAGCGAAAACAACCAAAGGTATATGTAAAGCGTAATCAACTGTTTTCTTGAGAAATTCACGAATACTATGCGGTCCAATGCAGGGCACGGACTCAAACAAAATCCCTTTCGGTTTTAGGGGACGCGTTTCATTTCAGTGCATCCCTGCTACCTGAAGGTGTTTTTTTAACAGGTGAGCAGCAGATCACAACCCAAATAAACAGATATCCAGTGCAGCACATTAAAAAAGCCATAGTCTTAGACAATTTCCAAGATACGATACAGCAGCACTGCTCCGGTTTGGGACAGCGCCAACGGCGTCCTAAATGCCCCGAAGTGGCTTTGCATACCGCTGAAACGAGAAGCTGCTTAAGCCTGTGCAAACACCGCATTGTGTTAGTATTTAATGCAGAAGACAGGGACGTATAGCTCGCAAGGGTTTTAGCATGAGAGACGCTTTAGTCTGGACCGCAAACATCCCGCAATAAGTACGGAGTAAAAATAACAGGGAGACTTTTACTATGAAAATCGCTAATCCCTCCACTTGTATATCGCAGTGTCATATGACTCCTGAAAAAAAAGTCTCAGAAAAAAAAAATACTCTGGAAGGGAGATGTAGCCCAGTCCAGTTAAGCAAGAGACTATTAAAATCACGGACAGAAGAGGGCCTTGTTGAGTTTGTCAGTTGTTGTTTAAGATATGTCAGGGCAGACCCAAACAACAGGCTGCATATCTGATTCAGCTGATCTAATACAGAACAACAGACCCGATGTATTTGCAGTAAAGGATCTGCTATATTTATTAACTAACATTTTATCGTGTGTGCGGTGTGTGTGTGTGTGTGGGGGGGGGGAGGTACTAAAAATTAACTGAAATCTCTACAGTTTGTGCCCCAAGACCAGTTCAGGAATGACAAATCATTTAGATTTATGGATGGAAAGCGCTTGATAAATCATGTTCTTTATCGGCAGTGTCGCTGAAGACAGTCTGGGATGGAGGCCATGAATTTATACTCGAGATAACTGTTAAAATGTTATAGCTGATGGTATCCAAGAGGAGGACTCCGGGTTAGGATTTGGATGGGGTGGTGGGGGGGGGGGTGAAATAAAACTGAGTCAGTGAGCGGTTAGTGGAGTTAGCTGTGGTCTAGTCTCGGCGGAGGCTAGGCTGTGCGTTTGGCAGAATGGTAAATAAACAGAGCACCCTGTTAGCACTCTGCAGATAAAAGCTGCTAATGGTATATTTATGAGGTAAAGCAGCCTGTCACATTAAAACAAACGCCATTTGTAATATCTGCCACCGGCCGATAACATTCCCGACACGACACGTCGCTTGCTCTCTGGCGAATGCTGCGCTAGCACCCGCGGCCTCTCATTGCGAGCATGGGATAAGGGGGGGGGGCGCCTTTCAGAAGGGTGGCTGCTGCCCTATCTAGAACGAGGAGGATTTTGAGGGGAGAATAAAGCAGCCATTTAAAGGATTTGCTCCCTCATATCCAGTTATCTTTAATACATTCCTGAAGAAAAATTGTCCCGACACAAAGGCTGACATTTTTCCCCCTCAGAGAACATTCTGGCGGCCTCCATTACAATCGCCTTTCTTCCACTGTAGCCACTCCAGACCAAAACAGATGTTAATTTACACAATGAAAGCCCAATATATTATTAATTAATGGTTCGACACAAAAGGAGAATCTGGAAGCAGCAGCGACGCGAAAGGCCAGCTGCTTCCGTAATTACAGCTAGGCGATAATGCCGTTATTCTCAGCCGGATGACCGTGTGAATGTAGAGCCGCTAATGTATCTCATGGACATGACTAGCATTCTTGGACTACGTCTTAAAAGTCGTTAGCACATACTTTGAATTGGGTAACACGTGAGCTCAGTCCTATCCAGATTAATGAATCCTGGTAAGTTTAGGTTTGTAGGCCTCCGTCAGCTTAGGCCTGGCTGAGCCTTCACATGGTTGGCCGATGTAAGCTCTGCGGACCAATCACAGCATGGCTTTTCTTGACTATGGCAATTCCTGTTGTAAATGACAGATGAGCCCCACGGTAGAAAACAAAGCGTTTTGCACACCGCGATGCTAATCGTGATAACATTTATTTTTTAACCACAGGAAATGCACCTGTTCGCCATTAAGGCCTCCTTGGATCCGAGGCTGTCGAGGCTGCAGGCGCGAGGCAGAAGAGAACCTTCTGCCCTCGGCGTTTCATGGAGAAAAGTTTCTTTAGTGGACCTGCCGGGTTTCGGGGCAGGAATGACGCCCATCACTTCTTGACGTGAGGGACCAGGGATCTGCAACATGTCAGGAAGGGTCGGTCCTGCTCCTGCTGGCCTGTTAACCTCGCATGCTGTCCACAGTCGACACAGCGCGCACTGGCAGTGTGCAGACGGCTGACAAGCGGGAGAGTGTGAAGACCCGTGTCGACCTGCCTAGAAGGAGGGACCTGGACTCTTTAACATGAGGAGGACGTCATGTGAAAATCATGGATCATGTAGAAGATCAGAACTTTGCCTGTGGAGGGGGAGGGTGCTCATTTGTGGTGTAACAAGCTTCTGCGGCTTTCATTCTTAATATAAATGTAACAGCCACCCTGTCCATTGTGTAACCTTGCCTTCTGCCCAGTGCTGCCTGGGATGGGGGGAATTATAGTATAATTTATGTGTTGCTTGTCCTTTTGTGTTTGTGCATTATCTGTTTATATCAGTGTTTCCCAATCTGGTCCTCAAAGACCCACAGACGGTCAACACTTTTGCTCCCTCCCATCTCCCAGTAAGCGAAAACATTGACTGTCTGCAGGTCCCTGATTACTGGGATGATTGGGAAACACTGGATTATATAGTTCTTTTTCTAATTGTTTATGGCTCTTTTTCGCTTCCAACAATGTGTGCCGACCCTTTGAGTCCCATCTACTGTCAGGGCAGGACTCTGTATCTGAGTCATCATGGTGCTCCACACAAGCCCTGTCTATTAACGGGGCTGACCATCCATTCAGGTCAAGTGCGTGTTTCTGTCACTAATAGATTGTCGCACTGTTAGTCACTGTGATCAGATTTATGAAATTGATCGCATCAATGACACAGATGACAATTGGATGAGACTTCATTGCCCTAGCCAAGTTTCATTATTTTGGCTGACAGGAATTTTAAATGACTCTGAATCCAGATTTATGGAAGTTGGGAGACTTCTTTCTTCACGATGAACTTGCGGAAACAGTAGCCAGTTTAAATACGGCCTTTGTAACCCTAAGCCTGGCGAGTACGGTGAGGAAAGCTGACCCAGAACTCTCTCCTGCCCAGAATAACACAGTAGAGAGATTATGCCGTATCACGATGAGAGGCATGAAGAAGGAAGGGATGACGTGACGCCTACCAACTTGGGAGCGGGGCTGGGAAGCGGGGGTGGAAAACTATTTTGGAGTTATCATGAGAGAGAAGGAGAAAGAGACGGAAAGAGAGGGAGCGAGAAAAAGAGAGCAGGAATGGTGACATAAAAAGGCCGATTCTGCGTAATTCACAGCCTCTGACGCTGGGAACGAAGGGAATAAAACAGAGGAATATCCAGCGAGCGGAGAAGAGCAGGAGGAACAGTGACATTTAGTGAGGCGTGGAACAAATACGCATAAATATGCATAGTGTAGCGAGAAAATATTGAAGGTTCAACCCCGGGGGCATTGGAGAGGGAGGGGGGAGAGATGGGTGCTGAATTAATGATGAGATGGGGAGCAATGCACGTTTTCCACAGACGTAATTGGCGGTGTGGTTCGTGAGCAGCCGGGCCCGACGCACAGCACAATAACATTACATCAAAGGTAAAACTTCCACAGATCCTGATAAAGCCATCTCTTCTGGGGGTGTCTCATCCGCACCTCTCCTGCCTTAATAACTTTTTATCAAAGCAAAACAACCCCCCACACCCCAATTCGCCTCCAATAACCGCGGCGCATATTTGATTTCTTCATTTGTTTTTCATTTAGTGGTAACTTTCCGCACAGTAAACACTGCCATTTGTCAGTGGAGGTGGGGAACATCCGACCTCGTCATTAAGGGTGTGCCTCTGTTCAGCCAGCCAATCGGAAGGGGGCCCGGGAAAGCAGTGGACGCAGACATTGGCTGCAAGGAAATGTAGGTCAGTCCACATTTCCAGTAAGATAGAGAAGCTCCACACAGACAGACTTTTATCTGGGAGATTGATTCGCCCAGCCTTTCTTCCGGAACATTCTTCACAGAATCACATGGGTCTGGAGAACAGAAGCAGCCATCCCAGCAGCATGCACTAATCTTACGCTAACGTACCTCAGTGGTCGGCTGGTCGCCGTAGTTACGCAGCACTGCATGGATTACCATGCCTTCTCCACATCCGCCCGCCCAACCACCTCCCTTTGTTTACTCATGAAGGACAACAGGTGGCTACAGGGGGGGTTGCCTCCCCCTCAGGCCACATCTCAGGGGATGAAGGGAATTTTTAAGTGATGGTGGAGAAACCAGAAGATGAGCCTGCTGTGATCCTGTGACATGGGTGGGGGGGGACACCTGAGGGCTGTTGAATCCCCCCCCCCCCCCGTGGTATGAGGAAGAAAGACAGAGGGTCATATCGAACTCTGACTTCATGATCATAACCCAAATTATTTCTCAGGTAGCCATTTTTGACTCCCCACCCATTACAAGCCCCTGCACCCAGGTTCTGTATGGCTGTTCAGATTAGAGTTTTTATCTAAATGGTTGCAATTTTTCAGC